TGTTATTGTTATGCAGCGAATAGAATATGAAATATCCATAAAATATGTCATTCAGTTTACTCAATGATACAAAAGGTAAATGGTAAATTAACTGTACTTATAGAGCGCCTTTCTAGTCTTTTGACCAGTGAGAACCAGTGATCTATATAGATCGCCGTAAAAGAGTGAAGGAGCAGGACCAGGGGGTTGCTGCTGCTTACCCTGTCACATCTGTAATTGCACACGCTTTAGTTGATCATAAATGTTCTTGTTTTGACATAATGATATGACTGACACTTGAATCAAATTTAATTTGTTCATTGACATATCTTGTCATGTTTTATGACACGTTCACGAAACTTGAAAAAAATTATAGAAACTGAAGACCTAATAAACGTCTGGACATATTTTTAATTGTCTCAATCCCCCTTTTTTGGAACCAGAGACTAAAAGTCAACATAATCTCGGATTCTGTTTCTTTTGATTTTGACCATTTATCTAATCAGTCTCTTGTTAAGCCCCTACCTTTATAGAAGTACAGTACAATAGTAAATCAGTGCGGGTCCTAAATCGCAGGTTTTCATGAGGCTGGGTTACCAACCAGACCAAATGGGCAACTGCCTGGGACTCCAGATTTCCAGGTTCACTGTCTGTATAGAAACTGGTTTGGGGCCTTTTGATGAATTGAAATTTTGTATGGGAGGATGTAAATATACACCACCACATCTTTCCATTTTCTCTTTATTTTTTCCTGTCTTTATTTACTACTTCCAAATTTATATTGACTTGCTTTTGTTGACAGTGTGGGAACTCCAAATTTGATCTCAATGTGGGTGAGCACATGTCAGCTCATGACAGCATCAGATACCAAACCAAGCCAAAGGGACTCCGACAATAAATCATCACTCTCTTAATTTTATAACCATGGCACAGATCGAAAAAGAGACTTCCTCTTCTTTTTGGAAAGTGCACGTCTGTGAATTCACCCAGTGAAGGAGCTCACTGGAGAGGATTACCCATGTGCTTTGGTTCTGTAGCTAGGCTATATCAAAGGCATTTTTAAGCCACCAAGCAGATGTGAAGCAATGAGGTTGACCGCTGTGTCATTAAACCCTCTTCCGTGGTTGTTGACAGACCCTATGCCTCTTGAGATGTAACTACAGCAAATCAAATCTCCACACAAACACAAATACATGTTCACACTAACATGAGCACATACACACAATATCCCATGCTTGTTGTGGCCTGAAGTTGTGATTTATACAGTTGTGATTTGTTTCTTTTTACACAAACTCTTACAATGTGCAAGCTGGAGCTGGTCCCAAACTGGTGTGAAAGTGCTTACCACATCATCAGTGTTGTTGTTTTTATATGTGGAAGACAAGATCCAAGGGGATTTATGTGTTGGAGGGGTTAGTTGCTCGCAGTAGTGTAGTGTGGTTTTTTTAGTAGGATTTGTCCCTCCAGCCACATTCAGCCATCTTTTTTTCTACAGTAGTGATTCCCAACCAGAAGTACTCATGGGGGATCTTCTGCAGTTGTCAGGGGGTATTTCATAGAAGATTGTGGATCTATCCACCCATTAGCTATACCCGCATATCCTTTAGCTTTATGGCGACTCAAGGTACTACCTAGACAGGTTGTTAGTCAATCACAGGACTGAGACACGTAACACAAAACCATTTACACTCACACCCACACCCACACCCATGGCCAATATAAAAACTGGAACCCATGGAGAAAACCCATGCAGGCATAGGGAGAACATGCAAACTCCACACAGTGAGGGGACATTGTTAACCACTGCACTATCCACACAGTAAGTCAGCTGTAAGACAATGTGTTGAAATTGAAGGTGTGTGAAAACTAATTGGAAAGAAAGCAGAGATGTCTAAACAGCCAGTTAAAAATTCTGGATAAATGGCTGAAAAAGATGGCTAAAACTAATGGATAAATGTTTGAAATATAGTTAGCTAAAGGTAATTAATAAATGATTGCAATTGTTAGCTAAAAACAATAGATAAACGGTAGAAATACTTAGCTAACAGTAATGGATAAATGACTGAAAAATCAGCTCCAAGTGGTAGTGCAAATGCGAATTTGAGCAAATAGACCTGAACAGTGGCAAGTATATTTACAAAATGATTAATGTTTTTTTTTGTATAACAAATATTGTTAAATAACATCCAGTTTAAAAGCTACACATTTGGAATAGGGTGGGTGGTGTTGACAAAGAGGTAGTTGAGACAGGGGCGAGGGAGTTTATCAGACAAAAAAGGTTGGGAACCACT